TCAAACCGAGGAAAATAAATAAAAGGTTATTCTAATATTGACCATGTTCCATTGAAATCGGTAAATTGGCACTACTATCTAATATGCCACAGGACTTACGGCCACTATCAGAAAGGAAGGATGGTAATGTCAAAACAATCGATCCAGTAGTTTTAGAGAAAGGCCGCAGAAGGTGGACGGATGGATTTTTCTATATTCGATTTTCGGATTCTAAGTATCTTGAAACGTAAAACCTCTAATTTTGAGAGGGAATTAACATTTTTTTTTTTGGTAGATTATAAAAACTGATAAGCAGCGGGGTAGCTCAGTGGGTGAACACTGACTTCCAGAGTTCATGATCCCAGGTTTTTGTCCAGTTGATGACAAGTAATTTTTTTTGAGCCGTGGATCGACCTTGCGATCAGAAGACCCTACTAGAGCACGCCCAGCCTCCATAAAGTGGGCATTCTTAATGAATTTAATCAATTAAGAGGGGAAACCCTGTGGTTGAGCGTGATTTTTGACCAATCGCCTCCCTGCACAAACGTTGTCCTTGTAACAGTACACATTGTACTGAACCCAAGTCCTTTTCTGGGTTATAGTTGTAAATAAAAACTGAGTATTGAAAATAATAAACCGAAAGAGCTTCATAAAATTGTAGTAAGATATTTGTCCGGATTGGTTACATTGTGCTTCAGGAAGAAATTCCACCTCGCCGCATGTCAGAAATGGTCAGGCTGAGGCTAAAGAAAAAAAAAAAATGTTAGGCGAAAAAATAATGAACTTACGATATAAATGCTGATTGATTCATTAAACATAAGCTAGTAGTCCGTGGTACAGACCCCTTTTCTTCGAATTATTAACATCCGCCTAAAACTTTGTAAATAGCTTCATCTCATCGTAACCTACAACTACTTTATTTACGGAAACTCTTGAAAATGGGGCGTTTTCAATCTGGAGGGAGGCAAACCTAGTCTATTGAATTAGGTAGTAAAACCTCGTAAATACACATTTGCTTTCTACACGGATCGTACGATAATTCGATCACAAAATCGATAAAAAAGGTAGCCTACAAAAATATTGGCCTGTTTGCCCTATATAATATCGTTATTTTGAAAATTTGGAGATATAGGTTACGCAAAACGGCTCAATATTTTTGAAGTCCTCCTTTTTTCTCGATTTTGTTATCAAATTATCTTACGATAATAAGTAGAAAGCAAATGGGTATTTGCGAGTTTTAAGTATCTAATTAAATAGACAAAGTTTGCCCTTATCCAGATTGAAAACGCTGCAATTATAAGGGTTTTCGTAAATAAAATAGTTTTATGTTACGATGAGATGAAACTATTTACTAAGTTTCAGGTGGATGTTAATAATTCGATAAAAAGGGATCTGTACCCCGTGTATATAATATGATCTTTCAGCAACCAACCAAAACATTTAAATGTTTTAAGGTTATTAACTACAAGGGGTCGAGATGTAAACAGACTTCAAAGAAAATCTCTTGACTTTTTTTCTTTAAAAACATGCGTAGTGTTCCTTGGGCTGGATAATACAAGGCGATGGACGAAGGCCTTGGCATGTAAATACAAGTAGTGAGGTGGCCTTCAAAGATATTGAGCCGTTTGGCGTGACCTACACCCCCTAAATTTTCAAAATAACGATGTTATATAGGGCAATCGGCCAAATATTTTTGTAGGCCATCTTTTTTTATAAATTTTGTGATCAAATTATTTTACGATCCAAGTAGAAAGCAAATATGTATTTACGAGTTTTTAGTGCCTAATTAAATAGATAATGTTTGCCCCCTTTCAGATTGAAAACGCCTCAATTCCGAGAGTTTCCGTTAATAAAATAGTTGCAGGGTATGTTGAGACGAAACTATTGACAAAGTTTCAGGCGGATGTTAATAATTCGATAGAAAGGGGCCTGTACCACGGACTATAATAAATTTATGAATGCAACAAAAAAAATCACTTCAAGCGGAAATGTTAAAAAATAGTCTTCTATTACATATAAGATGTTTTTCCCCTCCAAATTTATGCCCCGACCTCTTCAGCTGTACCAATATATGTATATGTAAAGAGCATATATCTATTTTCAGGATTGAATGGTAAATAAATATATCCTGGGAGGGGGATCAGTGAGTTAAGGAGGACGAGGGGAAGATATGAAAAAGGGTAAGTGGGAGCACGGAGAGAAACAGGATTCTCGTCGTATTTCAAAAAAAGGGAGCCGTACCAGGGGTATTGGCCTAGTTCCACTCCCCCCCTCCCTCGCCCCACCTGCAATAACCAACCGGTGTTCGCTACGGTACTAAGCTCTGTTGGCGCCCTCCGCGGCTCTGTATACAACTAGCGCAAATTCAAAACAGGGCTTCCAATTACAGCCTCGCGGAATAATTTTACCAAACCTTATAAAACTGGAAAATAGCATTGAGAAAATGTCCAAGTTAGAGTAACAGTGAGATTCGGATTGAAAGGTAGATATTTAATATCTATAATCATTGATGTTATTATTTTTTGTTAATAAAGATTCAGCCAATTAGATATCGATCAACGACTATTGTTAGATGTTTTTGAGTATGGAAGAATTCGACATTTTCGGTGGAGAATTAAACGAATGCCTTGAAAACATTTATTTATTCAGCTTCCTCACTACCGAAGATAGGGAAGCATTGTGTTCGTGCGAGAAGTTAAAAAAGAATTTGTGCTCAGAATCGAAAATTTCCACTCGCATTTTACGTTTCAGACATCAAGAATCAAGTTCAAATCTGTCTTTCTGTATTCAAATCGATGTGACGGGCATATCATCTAGTACCGTTCATCCGATTTTCAAGAAATTTTCAGGGATTACGCAAATTGGTGCCTATATGGTCCCATATCAATTTTATCAAATTCCATTCAGCATATTCGCTTACGCACGCGCAAACGTATTTTTTTACATATGCAAATATTTCAAAAGGGGCTCGTTCGATTTGGCTCAATATTCGATAAAAGGTAGGTAATGGTGAAAAAATAATGTAATGCCAATTTTATTGAATTCTGTGCTCTAATTTCTCGTATTTATGCGCAAACGTGTTCTCCTTGATACGCCTAAATCTCTAAAACCGCATGTTCGATTTGGCTCAAATTTGGAGAGAAGTTAGGGATTGGTAAACAGATAATCAAGTAGGTATGATTTTTATCAAATTCCATCCACTTCTCCTAGATAAAATACTTTCGCATTTGGACCAGCAAAGGTATTATTTGGCAAGCCTAAAGTTTGCAAACTGAAAACTCCAGAAATTTCCTAATATGAATTTCATCGAATTCCATTTAATAATTAAAATTAATATAAATAATTGTTAACAATATAATGGCAGTGAAATATGAAAGGCATTGATCATATGGAGTGGGAGTTAGGTTATGACAATATTTTTATGGGGTTATAAAATTTTAGGTTTTATTCAAAGAGTTAATTTATACAGTATTGTTCCGCCGATTCCAAACGTTGCTTAGATTTCGTTTAATTTTCAATAAATTTAAATTAATTTTTACTCTGAGCTTGTAAAAAAGAAAAATCTTATTTGTGTTTATTTCTATTGAAGTTCAACAAGCTCGTCGTGAAATCGAATTTAAGCTTGATTTTTACATATATTTTTATATTCCAGTTTAAATAGTTTTGTTCTGACTGAAGAAAAGATTTGATCTCGTTAACTGTGAAAAAAAAGTTTAGTTTTTCTTATTTCTCTTGTGGAGTTTTTGTAACATCGATTTTACAAGTGAAAACATGCCGATTATGTACATATTACTACTCTTAGTGCAAAAAGGTCGTAAGCATTCTGCTACGATGAAAAATAGCAGTGGGCAATAAATTATAAAATTATACTAATAAATCATAACGAAATAATTAGTATTTATGCTTTCCTATAAAACACTCAATGTTTACATACGACTTTTTACACTAACGGTATTGATATTCATGTTCAGTACGCACTTGATTTTTTTAATCCCGAGTCATCAAATATGCAATATGCATATGCGGAGCTTTTTCGCATTTTAATATTCGCTGATGAACAAAACTCGTGGATATCAAACCAGTATACGTTGAGGAATTACTGAATTTCCAAAAAAGGCTTCTCCCAGAGATTTTATTCTCATACGAAAAATTTTAGACCTTGTAATATAGATATTTTTTAGCCAATGCAAACGGTGAAGAAGCTATACTGACCTTCCTTGGCAGACGTTTATTTATTCATTCATTGAAATTTACAACTGTATTAATAAAATATAATTACTAAATCTGTTATTATAGAAATATAAAATATGATAGTAGCTTGTGGAGAGACTACCCATTGGTAACAATTCAATGATTATTTTAATTTAGGAGGTCTCTGGGTCGTCTCATTTTCGTAAATTTTGGGTGACCAATTAGCTGAAATTACATATCATGTATCATTTCTTACACATTTTCTTTAAGATTCTACACGAGGCGAAAAAGTTTCTCATCATTTGATGTGATGATAGAGTTCAGCCGAAGCCTGGAGAGTTGTCACAATTAAAAGAGGTACGAGGTCTTTAGTTATCGCAATCATCATTTGGATCCTTTGAGGCTAAACGAACGGCCAACTCGAAACCCCAAAGGAATTTCAGGCTTCTAATGAAGCTCATTGTTTACCTTGGATTTACTTCAGCAATATCTTTAGGTATCGGTAAAGTGAGGGTTCCAAGTGAGTCATTTGTCAAGGTGGAGTCCTAGGTATAGGATTTGTTCAACAGGGATAAGTGGGGTATTGTTAAAGGATACTGCAGGACAGGGAGTTTGTATATTTTAACATTCTTTGCACGACAATTGGACTATACCCTTATGCTAGGTGCACCATGTAAATTTACTAACGTAAGTTTCTGTCGATAATGTTTTATTTAAAGCTTCATCTCCTTGATTCCCCCACCCTTCGAAACAAAGTTTGTATTAACTTATAATTATTATTAATACAATTTTTCATAATTATTTATATATTTTTTGTTTCCAGATGAGCGATGGTGACTGATTGGCGTCGGCCGGTGGGCTGGTGCCTGTGCCTGGTGGGCTGCCTGGCCCTGCTCCGGTTGGCCACGCTGAGGCCCGCAGCTCCCCCCTCCCCCACGTCGAGCACCCTCCTCGTGTCCCTTCCGGGTTCATTCAGCCCACCGTCGGTGAAGCTCCACTTCCCAAGGACATCCAGAAGGCTGCCTCAGGTCCGTAATTTTTATTTATTTTTTTATACTATGTATTGATCCTATTTAGCTCTTTCGGCCATGCGACATCTAGCAGTCTAGTATTCTTCACCCTTAGTCCTGACTTTGGTTATAACGTCCTATAGTCCAGGATAAATCAGTGGATGCAGAGCTTTCATGGATCCTTGTCGACACAGGGAGCATGTTAGTGATTCGACAATTCCAAAACGGTGGATGTGACATTGGAGAAAGCCATGTCCAGCCTTTATCCAAAACTGTGCTACCTCCTCACTCTTTGGGAGATCCATTGGAACTCTTTCCTTTTCTTCTAGTAATGAAGCCCATTGCTTCTCCTTTAAATCTAATTGCCATTTCCCTTCCAACTCTCCAATGATTAATGTTTTAATCAGCTTTTTGTCGTCAAGAAAGGTATAGACATATCTGACTTTTCCAGCACAACAATCCAGCAGTTATTTTGTTAATTGGTGAGGTTTTTCATTATGTGATTACCTAAACTGTCCTGGATTCCACTGTAAACCGTCATCTGTGCTTTCTAAAATCAGCTTCTCGATCAATTTCTTGTCTATATCAATTTGATTAGTGGAGCAACAGCAGTATTTGAAATGGCAATTATTACAGGCTGTGAATCAATTAGGACCACAAGTTTTTGCGCTTTATACTTTTTTTTATCAATTCCAAGGCGAAAAGAGCTGCTTTTACTTCGCTATCAATTTTACTTGCTAGATTCCCCATAGGCCTTGAGATTTGAAAATCTTCTGCATTTTTTTATTTTTTTCTTGCATATTCGCAGTGTCTGTACACATATGTAACTGTGGTGGAGGGATGGGGGGGGGGGAGGGAGTCCATCTCTTTATCAGTTTCAAGTGCTTGAATCTTTAGATCCATCTTAGAGTAACTTGCTTATTCATTGTCAGAAGGAGCTGTAAGTTAATTTCTACTGATTTTGTAGGGAACCTTGGTTGGTGTAATTTTCTATAGAAGAAAGAATTAATCCTGCTACTTTTTTATAAATGTCAATAAGTTAATTCATTCATTCATTCATTCATGTGTAGCACGACATCCCGTTGCCGAGACTGGACCTCCTCCAAGAGCCTCCGCCAGTTGGCTCTGTCTCCTGCTGCAGCTCTCCAGTTCCGTACACCAAACAGTGTTCTCGCATCATAGGCCACGTTGTAAAACCACCTCGTCCTCGGCCTTCCTACCCGTCTTGCGAGGTGCAGCTCCTCCATCATTATTTTCTTGGGTATCTCAACGGTGCTCATTCTGGCCACATGCCCTGCCCACCTTAGTCTAGCCAGTTTAATATAGGTGACTACGTCGATGTCTGCATAGAGAGAACTGAGCTCCCTATTTTTTCTTATAAGTTAATAAAGTCAGTAATATTCATAAAATACTGTTAAGATGTTAACGGAAGATTCCTATTAACTATTTTGAGCCTATTAAGTACCTGTAAATTTGCACTAGGAATAGCAAATAAAATATATAAAAAAATTATCCAGAAAGAAATACTGCATCCCACAACACTGCAATAGTACAGACGATGATGCTTGAATTGGCGAAACTGGTTAATTTACTTTGTGATTTTTAACGAATCTGATACTTTGTTTAGATATCTAGAGATAACGTTCCAATGAAAATATTATATATTTACGCAAATTTGGTTTTGTTGTTATTTCAGCTCCATATTCAGAGTCATGCAAGAATTTGTCTCACTCTATATCTGCAGATCTGTGATTGACTCAGTCATACCACTGTAAAAGGCAATTATCAATCCGATATTATCTTTTGTGCAAGTGAGCCTTCTTATCCCAGATGCCTACCTTTCTATTTTCTGGCGACAGTAACTTTCTTTAGCCTATTGAGCTCATGTGGTCAGATTTTGTTAATGTGACGTATTTTCGCCCCTAACTTTGTTATTCAGTCGGTTAGAATTCTGAAGAATAATAATCAAATCACAAAGAACAATCTCACGAAATCTGTCGTATTGAATACTTTACTTATGGATGGAATAAACACTTTGAAAAAAAATTCTTATATCAATTAGAATTTAAATTCGCACATTTTATAAGTTTATTACTTTTGTTTAAATTAACGGATTAGATTTTCTACTAGTATTAGTACTTTTATGTTAGCAATTTTTACAATAACAAACAAAAATGTTAATAAATATGTAATTTCCTTTTATACTTCAAATAATATTAATAACTTTATTTTAAATTATTTACATATAAACAATCTACATCTAACAAAAGCTAAAGATATACCATTTGGTAATAACCGTCTGAGGGGAGTCTAAAAAATCACAAATTTCATAAAAGAAAAAACAAATAATAAAATAAAATAAATAAATTACATCTTCTTGTAAATAATAACTGCGTATTAAAATTTGAGTGATAATATATAACATTGAACTTAAACAGCTATTGTATACATTTTAATATGGTTGTTAATAAAATTAAAATCTTTTATTAATTGATATCTGTATTGCCAGGCTACTCTACAATAACCAACCAGTTTATTCCAACTCTATCATTTAAAATATTTTTAAACTCCAATGAGTCTAAAATATCTAAACTCAGCCAAAATGGGACATACATAGCTATAAAATGATTCTTCTTCTGCTGCAAGACATAAAGAGCACCTATACCTCAAGATGCTTCAATAATAATATAATAATTAATTAAAATATGAAGGATGAAAAATATTTTGTTCCCACTGTTAGCCCGTTTTAATCACTCCGCGTTGTATAACTCCCAACTTGGACTCAGCATAAAAATTAAATAAAAAAGTGTATAGAAACGTAAGCTGAAAACACATGAGTGCACCGCAAAAGATTTAGCTGACTGAGGAATTTCGTGAAGGGCGGCTCGTTTGATACATTTCAACTCCAGAGAATAAAAAAAAAAAAACAGTTGCTGTTGAGAGTTGATTATTTTATTTTTACAAAAAAAAACTGAACGCAAAATGAAAGTGGCCTCCTGATCAAAAATTATAGTTTTCTCGTTTCACTGTATACCGTTTAAAATATACAAATAGTATATTAAATATATAAATTAGTATAACTAAATTTGTTATAAAACTGGAATTTGATGTGAAACAACTCAATTAATTAACCTTTTATTCCTATTGTCCAAATTTTCTTTATTGTTATTAATCATCTCAGATTGAGACAATAAAAACAGTTGTTGATGGTGTGAATATATTGGACCAAAACCGTAAACTGTTGTTATTCATCTGATTATATATTTTGTATGATCATTTATAAATAATCATATTATGTAAAACTAAATTTTAAAAAATCTGATGTGTCGACTCACATGATATTCCTGCCGATTTCAGAAAAAATTGTACAACTTTAAATATGTTGATTAAAAAAAAAAATTATTAGATTGATTTTCTTGAAAAACTAATCAGAGAAATGATTACATGTAAACAATAATTAAAAACAGCGTAAAAAGATTTTTTTTTTAAATTTAATAAAAATGTGGCTTTAAAACGTTAAGGTCCGTTGAAAACCTCATATCGAAAATTTGAACCCATCGCAATACTTTCCTCAACTAGTAGAGGTAGGGAAGTAATAAAAGTTAAAAAATGTTATTTTTAATTCTAGAAGAAAAACAAAATTCTCTCAAACAGCAATAAATAAATAACTAGTCGTTTTGTCAAATCTCGCGTGTCATCAAGCCTAAAGACTGATTCCTCCATGATCAATTGATGCAGCTTAGATATTGCATATCGCACATCAATAGAATTAGAAGTGACGAAAAGATGAGTACATCGCTTCATGTGACAACCTCGTGAATAACTTTTATACCATACTTTATTTATTACTTTTATTTTTTTCATGTTGATCTTTTTATCTAATAACTTTGTTATTTCAAATTTTGGTGGAAATCGAACTTCAACTTACTTAAAGAATTTTTGCCAATTTTCAAGCAACAGTGGTATCAGATATGATGTATTCATTCAGACTGAGGAATAAAATAAAAATACGTAGAATTCACTTAGGAGGTTATCAAATATCAGATAACATCGGCATACTGAAGGTGAAAAGTGGTAAGATTAGAACATACATAATAGGGTTACATTTAAGAAGCAGTTAAATTGTATGAAAGAAAAAACGTACGATTCTAGAAAAAATACTTACATAGTTATCCAATGCCTTCTGAATTTTACAATTGAAACTCCCTGAAAAGTGTAATGTTTTAAACTTCAAGTCTGTCTTTTCAAGCCATTTCTTACGTTTTTAATTGTTCAGACGACTTTAAAATAATAAAAAAATTATTGTTTTTTTTTATTTGGACAATACAGTATTTGATTTATTCCTATTATTATTAATCATATCCATACAGCCTCTGACCCTAAATTTGAAATGTTTTCTTTACTTAAAATTTTAGAGTCCCTTTCCCTTAAAGCACATAATTTTATATGAACAATCTCATTGCTGGTGTTCTATAATCATAGGTGATGCATAAAACTAGTAACAATTAATAAAATAAGCTGTAAACGTCTCGAAAATGCAGGTTTATTTATTGATGATAAGCCTTATTAAATTATTAGTCAGTGCTGTATTCCATGTAGAATGTTAGCGTTAATACCTAATGCTTATTAGACCATTAGATATTGCACAACTCACGTCAGATGTGGATTAGGTATTTATGTTACCGATTATATAGAATGTAGCAATGATGAATTATTATTTAATCAAGATTTAGCGAAAATATTTTAGTACCAATACTTTTTTAATTGGTTAAAGTTGTTGCGTATATTGTTATTAAAAAAAATGTTTATTTTGCTTAAAAATGTTTCGAAAATAATTAAGTAAATATTTATGATATGATGTATTAATCATCGAAACAAGATTCATAACAAATTTTATTTCTAATAAAATTTATTTATTTGTTAAGGGGGATTCCTAAGTTGATTAAAGTGTGATTTAAAAAAAATAAATAAATAATGAAATATACTTTCCAAAATTTATTTTCTGATCCTACGTTTTCCTTTTTTTTAATATAATTTACGATAAAAAATCATTGTAATCGATAAATAAAAGTTTTCTTGGTACATTAGAGATTTAAGGTTTAGAGATATTTAAAATCTAAAAAACGAATTAAAACAAAAATCACAACAACAAAAATTTCATCATCCAGTTTTGTTTCCCCTACAGTTCTAGTTTAAAGATTAGGCATAAATGTCACAGTTCTTACTAGGATGATCCACGAAATATTATTATCTGTCAATTGATTTCAACTTTATATTATTATAGAAACTAGGCTAAACTTACATTAATTACTGATTTATTACTTGTTACTACATGTTCATAGGATGTCTGGAGTTTATTGTTAAAAAACTGATCCAAGTGGTTCTCAATGT